ACAGAATTGTTACTGAGGGCCACAGAACTGTTACTTAGGGCCACAGAAACGTTACTTAGGGACACAGAATTGTTACTCAGGGACAGACACAGAATTGTTACTTAGGGACAGACACAGAACTGTTACTGAGGGGACACAGAATTGTTTGAGGGCCACAGAACTGTTACTTAGGGCCACAGAAACGTTACTTAGGGCCACAGAATCGTTACTTTAGGGCCACAGAATCGTTACTTAGGGCCACAGAAACGTTACTTAGGGCCACAGAAACGTTACTTAGGGCCACAGAATCGTTACTTAGGGCCACAGAATCGTTACTTAGGGCCACAGAAACGTTACTTAGAGCCACAGAAACGTTACTTAGGGCCACAGAATTGTTACTTAGGGACAGACACAGAATTGTTACTGAGGGACACAGAATTGTTACTGAGGGCCACAGAACTGTTACTTAGGGCCACAGAAACGTTACTTAGGGACAGACACAGAATTGTTACTGAGGGACACAGAATTGTTACTGAGGGCCACAGAACTGTTACTTAGGGCCACAGAAACGTTACTTAGGGACACAGAATTGTTACTCAGGGACAGACACAGAATTGTTACTTAGGGACAGACACAGAATTGTTACTGAGGGACACAGAATTGTTACTGAGGGCCACAGAACTGTTACTTAGGGCCACAGAAACGTTACTTAGGGCCACAGAAACGTTACTTAGGGCTACAGAAACGTTACTTAGGGCCACAGAATCGTTACTTAGGGCCACAGAAACGTTACTTAGGGCCACAGAAACGTTACTTAGGGCCACAGAATTGTTACTTAGGGACAGACACAGAATCGTTACTGAGGGCCACAGAATTGTTACTGAGGGCCACAGAACTGTTACTTAGGGCCACAGAAACGTTACTTAGGGCCACAGAAACGTTACTTAGGGCCACAGAATTGTTACTTAGGGACAGACACAGAATTGTTACTGAGGGACACAGAATTGTTACTGAGGGCCACAGAAACTGTTACTTAGGGCCACAGAAACGTTACTTAGGGACACAGAATTGTTACTCAGGGACAGACACAGAATTGTACTTAGGGACAGACACAGAATTGTTACTGAGGGACACAGAATTGTTACTGAGGGCCACAGAACTGTTACTTAGGGCCACAGAAACGTTACTTAGGGACACGTTACTCAGGGACACAGAATTGTTACTCAGGGACAGACACAGAATTGTTATGAGGGACACAGAATTGTTACTGAGGAACACAGAATTGTTACTGAGGGACACAGATTTGTTACTGAGGGCCACAGAAACCGTTACTTAGGGCCACAGAAACGTTACTTAGGGACACAGAATTGTTACTCAGGGACAGACACAGAATTGTTACTGAGGGACACAGAATTGTTACTGAGGGCCACAGAACTGTTACTTAGGGCCACAGAAACGTTACTTAGGGACACAGAATTGTTACTCAGGGACAGACACAGAATTGTTACTGAGGGACACAGAATTGTTACTCAGGGACACAGAATTGTTACTGAGGGACACAGATTTGTTACTGAGGGCCACAGAAACCGTTACTTAGGGCCACAGAAATGTTAATTAGGGACACAGAATTGTTACTCAGGGACAGACACAGAATTATTACTCAGGGACAGACACAGAATTGTTACTGAGGGACACAGAAATTGTTACTGAGGGACACAGAATTGTTACTTAGCGACAGACAACAGAATTGTTACTCAGGGGACAGACACAGAATTGTTACTGAGGGACACAGAATTGTTACTGAGGGACACAGAATTGTTACTGAGGGACACAGAATTGTTACTCAGCGACACCAGACACAGAATTGTTACTCAGGGACAGACACAGAATTGTTACTGAGGGACACAGAATTGTTACTGAGGGACACAGAATTGTTACTGAGGGACACAGAATTGTTACTCAGGGACACAGAATTGTTACTGAGGGACACAGATTTGTTACTGAGGGCCACAGAACCGTTACTTAGGGCCACAGGAAACATTACTTAGGGACAACAGAATTGTTACTCAGGGACACAGAATTGTTACTGAGGGACACAGATTTGTTACTGAGGGCCACAAAACCGTTACTTAGGGCCACAGAAACGTTACTTAGGGACACAGAATTGTTACTCAGGGACAGACACAGAATTGTTACTCAGGGACAGACACAGAATTGTTACTGAGGGACACAGAATTGTTACTGAGGGGACACAGAACTGTTACTCAGGGACACAGAATTGTTACTGAGGGACACAGAATTGTTACTGAGGGACACAGAATTGTTACTGAGGGACACAGAATTGTTTACTCAGGGACAGACACAGAATTGTTACTCAGGGACAGACACATAATTGTTACTGAGGGACACAGAATTGTTACTGAGGGACACAGAATTGTTACTCAGCGGACAGACACAGAATTGTTACTCAGGGACAGACACAGAATTGTTACTGAGGGACACAGAATTGTTACTGAGGGACACAGAATTGTTACTCAGGGACACAGAATTGTTACTGAGGGACACAGAATTGTTACTGAGGGACACAGAATTGTTACTCAGGGACACAGAATCGTTTTTAATTAAAGAGTATGTCAGACAAACATGCATAGGAGTGGCAGAGGAGGCAATGTTTTAGGAGCGAGCAGACGTGGCAGCAGACGAAGGGGTCGAGGCAGCACTAGTCGCAGCCAGAGGCCAGTGCTCCCGGTGTCATCCAGCGGTCGTGTCTCCACCGACAACCCTGCCGTCATCGATTGGTTGGCTCGGTCGTCTTCCTCTTCCCAGGTCACCTCTGACACCTACAGCCAACGGTCGGTGGGTACGTCAGACACAACCGTTAGTTGGCATGGGCCCGGGAGCAAGCCCACTGAAATCACGTGTCCTCGACCTGCCCCTGTCCTTTGGTGTTCCCTCACCAAGCGAAGTATCGTATGCTGTGGGCTCAGCCCCACTGTACAGTGAGGAAGAGCTAACAGAGGGCGGTCAGGAACGGGGGGAGACATCCGCCTCTTCAGCAGCCAGGCGAGAGAAGTAGTGGCGAGGAGAGTGGCTCGGTAGCCGGTCTAGAGACAGGTCTGTCTCCTGACCCACACGCAGCCGAGGGGGCTAGTAGTGAGGCGGAGACCCTAATTGATGATGATGAGGCTGATCGCACTTGGCAGCCTCGTCGTCATCAGGCTATTGCTTCCGCATCATCAGGAGAAGAGGGTGGCAGCTTGGCAGCGAGCAAAAACAGTCGGTGGGTTGCCCAGGAGGCAGCAGGGTCGCAGCAGTGTCAGTGGAGGCAAACGGCCACGGAGTACAGCACCAGCTCCACTGCAGCCTACCACCACGGCCAGTAGTGGTGCCGTGTGTGCACGGAGGAAGCAGCAGTCAGCCAGTGTGAGGAGTATCGGGGGCAAAGTTTCCTACTCGGCGGTGTGGCAATTTTTGGTCAAGCCGCCCGAGGAAGTAAACGTAGCGTATGTCGACTATGTGGCCAGAAAGTCAAGCGTGGCCAGGGGGCCCATGTTGGGACTACAGCGTTGCGTCAGCATATATGCAGTGTCGCCATTTGGTGGCCTGGGAAAACCGTGATAAAGATACGGCGGTTCTGCCTGCCCCAGCCCTGGGTTCCATTTTGTCATAGGGTGCTGGCAGATTACGGGCCTCCTTTAGCTGCTGCCAGGCCCCTAATCTGCCATGGGCCCCTATACCGCCTCCTCATGCTGCTGCCAAGACCAGAGTCTCTCATGGGTCCCTTTACGGCCTCCCATTGCTGCTGTCTCCATCGCCACACTCTGCAATGTGCCACTTTCAGGTCTCCTCACACACTGCTGGTGTGTTCATTTTTTGTCATAGGGTGCTGGCAGATTATCGGGCCTCCCATAGCTGCTGCCAGGCCCCTAATCTGCCATGGGCCCCTATACCGCTCCTCATGCTGCTGCCAAGACCAGAGTCTCTCATGTGTCCCTGTACGGCCTCCCATTGCTGCTGTCTCCATCGCCACACTCTGCCATGTGCCACTTTCAGGTCTCCTCACACACTGCTGGTGTGTTCCATTTTTTGTCATAGGGTGCTGGCAGATTACGGGCCTCCTATAGCTGCTGCCAGGCCCCTAATCTGCCATGGGCCCCTATACTGCCTCCTCATGCTGCTGCCAAGACCAGAGTCTCTCATGGGTCCCTGTACGGCCTCCCATGCTGCTGTCTCCATCGCCACACTCTGCCATGTGCCACTTTCAGGTCTCCTCACACACTGCTGGTGTGTTCCATTTTTTGTCATAGGGTGCTGGCAGATTACGGGCCTCTATAGCTGCTGCCAGGCCCCTAATCTGCCATGGGCCCCTATACCGCCTCCTCATGCTGCTGCCAAGACCAGAGTCTCTCATGGGTCCCTGTACGGCCTCCCATTGCTGCTGTCTCCATCGCCACACTTGCCATGTGCCACTTTCAGGTCTCCCTCACACACTGCTGGTGTGTTCCATTTTTTGTCATAGGGTGCTGGCAGATTACGGGCCTCCTATAGCTGCTGCCAGGCCCCTAATCTGCCATGGGCCCCTATATACCGCCTCCTCATGCTGCTGCCAAGACCAGAGTCTCTCATGGGTCCCTGTACGGCCTCCCATTGCTGCTGTCTCCATCGCCACACTCTGCCATGTGCCACTTTCAGGTCTCCTCACACACTGCTGGTGTGTTCCATTTTTTGTCATAGGGTGCTGGCAGATTACGGGCCTCCTATAGCTGCTGCCAGGCCCCTAATCTGCCATGGGCCCCTATACCGCCTCCTCATGCTGCTGCCAAGACCAGAGTCTCTCATGGGTCCCTGTACGGCCTCCCATTGCTGCTGTCTCCATCGCCACACTCTGCCATGTGCCACTTTCAGGTCTCCTCACACACTGCTGGTGTGTTCCATTTTTTGTCATAGGGTGCTGGCAGATTACGGGCCTCCTATAGCTGCTGCCAGGCCCCTAATCTGCCATGGGCCCCTATACCGCCTCCTCATGCTGCTGCCAAGACCAGAGTCTCTCATGGGTCCCTGTACGGCCTCCCATTGCTGCTGTCTCCATCGCCACACTCTGCCATGTGCCACTTTCAGGTCTCCTCACACACTGCTGGTGTGTTCCTGGTGGGTGTTTTTTTGTCATAGGGTGCTGGCAGATTACGGGCCTCCTATAGCTGCTGCCTTGCCCTGGGCCCCTAATCTGCCATAGGCCCCTATACCGCCTGTCTCATGCTGCCAAGCCACCAGAGTCTCCTCTCATGGGCCCCTGTACGGCCTCCCATGCTGCTGTGTCCATCGCCACACTCTGCCATGTGCCACTTTCAGGTCTCCTCACACACTGCTGGTGTGTTCCATTTTTTGTCATAGGGTGCTGCAGATTACGGGCCTCCTATAGCTGCTGCCAGGCCCTAATCTGCCATGGGCCCCTATACCGCCTCCTCATGCTGCTGCCAAGACCAGAGTCTCTCATGTGTCCCTGTACGGCCTCCCATTGCTGCTGTCTCCATCGCCACACTCTGCCATGTGCCACTTTCAGGTCTCCTCACACACTGCTGGTGTGTTCCATTTTTGTCATAGGGTGCTGGCAGATTAGGGCCTCCCATAGCTGCTGCCAGGCCCCTAATCTGCCATGGGCCCCTATACCGCCTCCTCATGCTGCTGCCAAGACCAGAGTCTCTCATGTGTCCCTGTACGGCCTCCCATTGCTGCTGTCTCCATCGCCACACTCTGCCATGTGCCACTTTCAGGTCTCCTCACACTGCTGGTGTGTTCCATTTTTTTGTCATAGGGTGCTGGCAGATTACGGGCCTCCTATAGCTGCTGCCAGGCCCCTAATCTGCCATGGGCCCCTATACCGCCTCCTCATGCTGCTGCCAAGACCAGAGTCTCTCATGGGTCCCTGTACGGCCTCCCATTGCTGCTGTCTCCATCGCCACACTCTGCCATGTGCCCACTTTCAGGTCTCCTCACACACTGCTGGTGTGTTCCATTTTTTGTCATAGGGTGCTGGCAGATTACGGGCCTCCTATAGCCATAGCTGCTGCCAGGCCCCTAATCTGCCATGGGCCCCTATACCGCCTCCTCATGCTGCTGCCAAGACCAGAGTCTCTCATGGGTCCCTGTACGGCCTCCCTTGCTGCTGTCTCCATCGCCACACTCTGCCATGTGCCACTTTCAGGTCTCCTCACACACTGCTGGTGTGTTCCATTTTTTGTCATAGGGTGCTGGCAGATTACGGGGCCTCCTATAGCTGCTACAGGCCCTAATCTGCCATGGGCCCTATATACCACCTCTCATGCTGCTGCCAAGTCCAGAGAGTCTCTCATGGGTCCCTGTACGGCTCCCATTGCTGCTGTCTCCATCGCCACACTCATGTGCCATGTGCCACTTTCAGGTCTCCTCACACACTGCTGGTGTGTTCCATTTTTTGTCATAGGGTGCTGGCAGATTACGGGCCTCCTATAGCTGCTGCTGCAGGCCCCTAATCTGCCATTGCTGGGTCTCCATCGCCCCTATACCGCCTCCTCATGCTGCTGCCAAGACCAGAGTCTTCATGGGTCCCTGTACGGCCTCCCATTGCTGCTGTCTCCATCGCCACACTCTGCCATGTGCCACTTTCAGGTCTCCTCACACACTGCTGGTGTGTTCCATTTTTTGTCATAGGGTGCTGGCAGATTACGGGCCTCCCATTGCTGCTGCCAGGCCCGTAATCTGCCATGGGCCCCATACCGACTCCTCATGCTGTGACGTTGCAACAAGGTGAAATTCAACCCTACATATGTTAGACCGCCTTTACGAACAGCGAAAGGCCATCACAGATTTCCTGATGTTACAAGCGGATAAAGGTACTCCCCTGTGTAACTTAGATGTCAGCCATTGGCAGCTCATGCGTGACACCTGCCGCTTGCTCAGGCCCTTTGAGGAGGCCACGCTATTCGTGAGTCGGCAGGACTATGGGATGAACGACGTCATTCCTCTGTTGCACGTCCTGGAACAAATGCTGTTAACAATGGCTGGTCAGGGTGCGGTAGATGTGGCGCACAGATCTCAACGCCACATGACCCCTGTGGGGGCAGGACAGGAAGAAGAGGAGGAGGTAGAGGAGGACATTGGTGCTCAGGAATTATTGAGTGAAATGGGTGGTTTTTCCACTCAGCGGACAGGAGTGGAGGAGCAGGAGCATCTGGTAGAGGAGGAGGAGGAGGAGACAGAGGACCCAGACGCACCGTGGCAGTATGCTGTGGAGATGGAGGCAGGGAGTCCCTCGCATTCCTTGGCACAAATGGCCCATAGCATGCTCGCTTGGTTGCGTAGCGACAGCCGAATAATAACCATCAGACAGAGGGATGACTTTTGGCTGTCCACCTTGTTGGACCCTCGCTACCGTTCAAAAATGGTGGCCTTTTTCACACCTGCTGAGAGGGAGGCCAAAATAACGTACTATAAAAACCTCCTATGTAGTCAGCTGGTCTCTGCCTTTCTGCGCCAACGTCCATCCTCAGACACTGTGGGCCCTGTGCGCTCGCGTTCCGCTGCCATGGCAGCAGGGGGGGGGTGGGGTGGTAGGAGCAGTGGCAGCTCCACCAGCAGCGGCTGCCTCAGTCTGCAGTCGATGATGAGTAGCTTTCTTCACCAGCGCAGTGAGGAAACTACTAACCATCCGCAGCAGCAGCAGCATCAGGTGGACCTGGAGCAGGACCAAACAACAGGCTTAGGCCTACTTGGACAGCACCCTGCCAACCGAGGTAGACAATCCCCTTGACTACTGGGCAACGAAACTTGACCTTTGGCCCCAACTAGCTGAATTTGCCCTTGAAAGGCTGTCATGCCCGGCCAGTAGCGTGGCATCGGAGCGCGTGTTTAGTGCGGCAGGAGGTATTGTAACTCCGCGGAGGACACGACTGTCCACCCAAAGTGTGGAGAGACTCACGTTTGTGAAAATGAATCAGGCGTGGATTAGTCTGGATTTCAAACCAACAGTTCCTGACACAACTGACTAAATCCGCCATGAATCATGCCCCAAACATGTGCCACTTTCAGGTCTCCTCACACTGCTGGTGTGTTCCATTTTTTGTCATAGGGTGCTGGCAGATTACGGGCCTCCCATTGCTGCTGCCAGGCCCGTAATCTGCCATGGGCCCCTGTACCGCCTCCTCATGCTGCTGCCAGGTCCAGAGTGTGTCATGGGTCCCTGTAAGGGACCGCCCGGCGGTACCACTAGCACTCCACTGATCGGATGTTCCCAGCGCACGGAGTCTAAGCCCCAGAGTACTTGTTCACCAGGGCCCCTGATGGTGGGGATGGACTTGGAGTACCCCAGGACCAGGTCGTGACTACTGAGGACACCCGTCAGTGGTAGGGGTATTCGCCAGGGGCTCCCACGGGAGAGAGCCAGGTATGAGGAGGTCTGGAGACCCGTTGAGAGGGATGGATGGATGGATGGATGGATGGATGGCTGAGCAGGTGCAGGGTCATACAAGCCGGGTCGGTAACTATGGGGACGGTGCGGTACAGAGCAGCGGGCAAAGAATAGTCGGGTCACACGCCAGGTCATCAACAGCAGGTCAGATCCAATAGGGGGCATTCAGGAGAGAGGTCAGGCAAGCAAGGGTCAAGAACAGGAGAAAACAGCAAGGTCAGGGCACAATCCGGGTCAATAACTTACTTTAAACAGGTTCACAGGTTCACAGGATACAAGAGACCAAAAGGCACTGAATGACAGCTCAGGGCCGTTTAAATATCCCGCCCTGCGCTGTCATTGGTGCCAGGCGCGCGCCCGTGGTCACTACTGCGCATGCGCGAACCTGATTGCCGCGGTCGGCCAAGTCCCGGCGCTCGCGTACAGGGAGGTGTACTGCGCCTGCGCCGAGCCCAGCGGCGCGGCGATCGCCGACAGTCCCTGTACGGCCTCCCATTGCTGCTGCCAGGCCCGTAATCTGCCATAGGCCCCGTACCAACTCCTCATGCTGCTGCCAGGCCCGTAATCTGTCATGGGCCCCTGTACCACCTCCTCATGCTGCTGCCAGGTCCAGAGTGTGTCATGGGTCCCTGTACGGCCTCCCATTGCTGCTGTCTCCATCGCCACACTCTGCCATGTGCCACTTTCAGGTCTCCTCTCACACTGCTGGTGGTTTCCATTTTTGTCATAGGGTGCTGTATGGCCTCCCATTGCTGCTGCCTCCACCGCCACACTGTGGCTCCACACTCTGGTTTTGGCCCGTGACTGCCCAAATGAGTGAAATGTGATTCTAAGATCGACGGCACTCATCTGCATGTCATACTGACTGTCAGTATTATTTCTCTTCCCCAGCAGACTCCAAGGGCATTTAAATTAAAGGTACAGTGTTCTGCACTAATATAAAGGCTCTCTGAAGCCTAGAAACACCCTTTTATAAGTTAAATTCGCAGCAAATATATTCGACTCGAATCAAAATTTTTTCACGAATTCGCCGAATCAGTCGAATCAAATTTTTGAATAATTCGCTCATCTCTAGTTATTATCGATTGTAGCATTGTAGCACATTGGGGAATGTGCCAGTGGTGGCTGCGTGATTAAAGAGTTTGGTCAGGTATGGTGAAAGGTTAGGGGCAAATTGTTTGTAGTACTCGTTCGTATATCCGTCATTCCCTGAAGACTTGTTAAGAGGGAGTGTTTTAATGGTGGATTCCATTTCAGTGGGAGTGATCGGGGTTGATATATCGTCAAGTTGGGATGGAGAAAGTTGAGAGAGTTTAATTGTGTGGAGGAATTGCTGTATGGACGTTGGTGTTGGTTGGATAGTGTTAAGGTAATTTTTAAGGTTGTACAGTTGTTGGTAGTAGGTTGCAAAGGCATTGGCTATCTCTTGTGGGGTTGTGGTTAAGGTCTGTGAGGAAAGGTGGTAAACTGAAGATATTTTAGCTTTTAGCCGTCGTTGTTTAATCATTTTGGTTAGTAGTGGGTTGGCTTTGTTGCTAAGGGAGTAGAATTTAGTTTTCTTTTTTTGAAGATTGAGGTCATATTTACAGAGTAGGATGGTTCTAAGTTTGTTTCTGTCATTAGTGAGTTGGGCGGAAGTTACAGAATTTGGGGATTTTTTGTTTAATTCTTCTTTTGTTTTAATTGAGAGGAGGAGATCGTCAATTTGTTGGTTTCTCTGTTTGGAGATACGAGAATTTAGTTGTATTAGAATACCTCTCATGTATGCCTTATACGCGGACCATAGTGTACGTATCGAGATTTCAGGTGAGTCAAGGATGATATTTTAATCATATTGCTAGATGTAGGTGAGTTGTCCAGGGTAGCGGAGGCATTTCATAAAATGTATAGAGTGGCTGATTATCTTTTGTTGTTGGTAAGAAGTTTCCACAGAGAGGGAGTAATGTGCTGGATTTGGTCGCTGGTTTGATGAGGATTTTCCATCTTGTAATATGGTTTTTCGAGGGAAGAGGGGTTGACTTGATCGACTGGTGGAGGTAGGAGGGTAAAAAGAACTTGTTGAAAACACAAGTGGTATGTGTAGCACTTATTGCTACTGTGTAACGGGGGGATTTGAACATACATGACTTATGTGAGAGAAGTCATGTTGACGAAAAACTCGGGGTTCGGAAATGATCGTAAAGAGGCCATCTGCCAGCCTTTAGTGATTTATGAATAGGTTCTTAGCTTGTTGGGTGGTGATTGATGTTAGGGACCTTTGGATCAGGACCATTCTACATCCATGTGTTGTGGTCGGCTAGAGGTGGATTGGTGGGAGTCGATTGGTATGATGTTCCAGGTTTTCAGGAGTTCGATGCCTGCTTCAAGGGTTTTAATCATAAAGAGCCTTCCTTGTTGTTTAACAATGAGCTTTGTGGGGAAACCCCATTGGTAGCCAATTCTGTGGTTCCGTAATGCTTTTGTTATAGTGCAAGTTTCTTGCGTTTGAGAAGTGTGGCTTTAGATAGGTCTGCAAATAATTTGATATTCGCTTGATCTGGTGATATTGATGTAGTGTTTCTCGCAGCTATCATAATTTTTTCTTTCACGTGGTAGAAGTGAATGCATGCTAGGATGTCCCTAGGTATTGCGGCCGGTAGGAACAATGGTTTTGGTAATCTGTGTGCACGGTCTATGGCGAGCTCTACATCTGATAGGGAAGGAATGAGATTTTTCATGTACTGTTGTAAATAGGGTACATGGGCGTCCGTAGTGATATTTTCCGGGATTCCGCAAAATTTTATATTGTTCCGCCTACAGCGGTCTTCTAGGTCCGCCAATTTGAGGTTAATCTGTTCTATATTGGTTCCGTGGTCTGCGTGTGCGTCTATTAGGTCGTTGTGTGCTGCGAACATTTCCCCCATTTTATTTTCAATATGGCGGATACGGTGATCCTGTTGTTGTACCGTAGTTGAGATTTGAGATAGTGTTGTCGTCAGGTCATCATGTAATGTTTGTTGTAGTGAGAGAAGCATACTTTTCATAGACAGTTCAGCGATAGGTTTATCGGAAGCAGGAACATTTTCTATCAAGGATGGAGTAGAGATAGCAGTATTGAATGCAGGAGAATAGGAAGGCTGAGTAACAGATGCAGTTTCTATGTCCAGCCTAGGTCTGGACTTAGCAGGGCTGCTTGTGGTGGGAGGCAGGACCGGAGAGGACTCACCAGGGTCTCCAGGGTATAGTGATTCTCTGAGCCTGGGGGTCTGTGGTGTGATCTGTGCTCTGTACTACCGTGAGGCATCGTGCTGTGAGGAGCCAGTGCCATCTTGGCTGCAGGGGCTGAGAGCTGGGAAAAAGCTTGTCAGCTTTCCCAGCTGCCCTGGTTATCTGCGGCGACGAGGCATATCCCTGGGGATCTAGTGCTGACCTGCGTCCCCTTATTTGTGTGGGGAGAGGTTCGTGCTGCCACTGAGTCCGGTGTGTGCCGGGTTATGGCTGGCGGGGAGATGGAGCTCTCTTCACGGAGCTGTCATCCCGGAGCTGGCCGCGCATGCACCCCTATACCGCCATTTTTAACTTTCACGTAAACCAATTAATGTACACAGATTTGGATTTATTTTAGCAAAGACGTGTCGCAGAATACATTTTGACCTAAATGTATGACAAAATTTGATTTTTAAATTTTTTTTACTGTACACGTTTAATAGCAAAAAGTCCAAAATATTGTTTTTTTCCTCAAAATTGTCGGTCTTTTTTTTTTATAGTGCGAAAGGCGCACAGGCAATCAATAGAGAGAAAAACAGGTGGCGCACACACCTAGCAGCAGGCATCAACAGCAGGGCTCTCACTTCACTTTCCATTCATCGTGCATCAGCATCAGAGGTTGGTCATCAGCTCTGATGAAAGGGATTCGTCCCCGAAACGCGTCAGCCATTTGACCGCACTGACAGTGAGAACACCTTGCCTGCCGTTGTGGCCATTGTCATTTTTCTATGCTTTTTAGATACATGCTTCGTCTGTGAGTATGTTTTTATGATTTAATTCCTACAATAAACCTTGGATAATGCACTAGGTGTGTGCGCCACCTGTTTTTCTCTCTATCCAGTGGCTGATTTCCCCGTCTGAGGAGGGCTGCACCCCTGGAACATTTCCTTTTGGTTGTCGCTGTCCTGGTACCCTTGGCTTCCCTTTTGGCTGTGCATATCCTGAGGCGCTGGAGAGTACATACGCACAGGCAATCAAATACCACTGAAAGAAAGTTCAATTTGTGGGGGAAAAAAGGATATAAATTTAATTTGGGTGCAGCTTTGCATGACCACGCAATTGTCAGTTAAAGTAACGCAGCGCCATAGCGCAAACCACTTCTTTAACTGCTTCCTGACCGCCCTATAGAAAAAATACTGCTACAGGGCGGCACGGGTGCGCAAAATCACGTATATATAATTGATTTGCACTCCCGTGGTTTTCATGCCCCTCCCAGATAACATCAGATTGCCTGTCAGTACACCAGTAATCACTTTTAACCCCTTGATTGCCAGGAACACACTCATACACAATAAACCTCCATTGCTAGTATAGTGTCTGAACGGATCAATATCTTTGATCAGCACTATACCAGCATCCACATTAGTATAGTGTCCCCAAAAACGCAGTGTTAGCAGGATCAGCCCATCTGCCAGCACCTGCATTTAGCCCCTACGCTTACTCCCCCCCCTTCTCCCCCAGCAAGTGCAGTGTCAGTAGGTCACTGTCACTTGATACATTGCACACAAACCGAAGTGTTAGCAGAACCATGCCTGATCTCTGCTAGCACTTGCCAGTAAATTTTGATGACTCTCATATGCAGCAGAGTGTCAGTACTAGTGCCGCGCTGCCTTTTGGTGAACTGGTGTTGGATTTTCTGAGACACATATAATACTTCTTTAGTGTCTTGAGGCGATTTTTCAAATGAAAGACCTGGTGAGATAAAAAATAAAGTGTGATTTTATTTTATCACACAAAGGCTTAAAATAACAATGTAAAGCGTATCATGAACAGTTCCATGTAGATATCAAAGCAGAAATATCATAGCAGAAGTTTAAAGATGCGTCACCCTTTTGTCCATTGTCTTATGTCCTTCTTCCATGTTCAGTTTGTCCTTCAGGGTCTTTGGGAAGAAGCCGGAAGTGTCTATTTCTTGTCTTACAGCACCTGTTCCAGCTTCTCAGAATGTTCTTATGCCTGTCTGAATGGACAGATGTGTGTGTGTGTGTGTGTGTGTGCCTTTTTATGATGCATGTGTGAGTCATAATTAGTGATCTTAGAACCTTGTATGGCAAACAATACTGCTTAGCAGAGCAATTTCATTGCAGGGAGGGGACGCTACATATATGGTCTTTTGATTGACAGGCACATACAGTATGTAGTGACCATAATAAGCTGGTGATGTTAGATCAGCTTGCTCATATTTAAGTGATAATATAAACTAAGAATGTATCTTTACAACATCTCAATAATGTTGTATAACCACAAATCTACGTATGTAACAATATTACCAACATATAAAACATAAGCTAAGTACATACAGATACTGTTAGTATACATTATGTAATACTTATTCTATTTTGATTCACTTCTAACACCCTTGACATTCTACACCAGAGTCCTGTAACCAGCTTTGCCCTATTATAGAATACTCAGCTATCAGCTGGTTAGCTAGCTCTGCTTATAACTCCTATCTCAGTTTAACTGAAGAAATTAAC